CTCCATGAATTCAGCAAATATTTGATAAGATCTTTCCATGTGGGGTAGGCAAAACAGACATGGACTGAGCCTTTGTGGTCCCTGCATCTTGATAGAATTTTTCCCCTCACTTCACTGAATTTTTATTTTGGAAAGAGGAGGAATTTCTGTGTTCTTGGGTCTTTTACAAATTGGGAAACATCAGGAATCTAAGATTGCTTCAGTCATCTTAATGACCAACTTTGCAAAATCATCTAGTTCATCCATAAAAGCAATCCAAAATACCCACTGAGTCATCAGATGTCTTTTCTTGATTCATTGCCATGTTCTTGGAAAATTATCACAATAACCCACAACATTTCTATAGCACTTTGTACTTATTGAAAGGTATTCTCCAGTGCATTTGTTTAACATTCTGTACTTATAACTCTTTAGTGTTGTCTTTTTTTACTTTTTTGTGGTATAATTAAGATATAACATAACACTATATTAGTTTCAGGTGTATAACATAATGACTGATATTTGTATACATTTGAAGTGTTCACCACAATACTGCTCTCTTGTTTGATTCTCACAAAATACCTGCAGGTATAGGCAGATAAGTTTTCTCTGTTATTAGTGAAAAATTGAGAAAAGAAAAACAATAAATTGTTTATTTTATAATGACCAATGTTGAACTTGAAAATACATCTTAACTCTCCTTGTACAGCATCACATTCCTTTTCTACTTAAAGAACTGGAATCAACACTTGTTATATGTGCAATTATAGAATAAAGAAGGCCCTCACCTTCTAAATCATTTTTATTGCCCACTTGAAATTGTTGTTCCAACTTAAATTCTGAACCAAAGTATCTGAAAGTATCCTCTTCTCTGATTAATGGAGAACTGAGCAAATTTGCATTGGACGAGCTCCTTCTTTTCATGAATCTCCCCTGTGATAAGTAGGTCACCTACTCACATTCACTTAAATGAGTAGTTTATTAAATCAGACCTGTGTTAAAATATCTGTATCTGGCAAAAGTCCTTTTAGGGAACACAAGCAGTTAGGATGGAATCAGCGTCAGAGGACACTGACGATTATAGATGAGGAGAGTGAAATCCTGTGAGGCATAATGACATTGAAGTTAAAAACACACTGCTATTTACCTAGAAGCAGGCCTGTGTGTAGAAGTTCAATTTAAAGATTCAATATGTAGGAGAATATAAAATTTAAGTATATTTTCTGCTTTAAAATTAAGTTGTGGATACATAAAGATGTGAGGCACCTCACCCAAAAACATTTTCAATGCAAAAAGTTAAAGTAGGCAGTTGTGGTGACCAGAGCAAAGGGGAACTATGTAGATAAATATCACAATGCCAGACTGATTATTAGGATTGGACACACTTTTGAAAGAAATAGACCCCAGATTTATCACAGTTTTCTAATGCCCAAAATGAAGTAAACACAATTTGTGAGAATCCAGTTGTCCACAAAACAAAACCTAATTTGCTATTCAGTAGTATTTCTCCACTAGATATCCAGAAAAGGGACCCTTAGTTTCATCCAATTCTTTCTTACAAAGTGCTTCAATGCAGTCCATTGGCATAACATCAAAGTACAATCTCGTAAAACAGTTCTATTAGATCCAAAACTATATTGCTGAAGTATCCAGTGACCTTGCAGTCTGATTTGATTCAAAGGCATCATTTAAGGTATGCAAAGTAATAGATCAATTACTTAACCCTCAAGTATTTCTTACAAAACTTATTTATGGTGATATGGACAGCAAGGAGCACAACATGTTATTATTTGGCAAGAGCTTATCGTGTGCATAGTCTGTCATGGTGGTTGATGGCTGCTCCACAAGCGTGGATCATCAACCATGCAGAGATGTGTCATTAAGGGCATCTGTGGGGATGTAGGAGCCTAATTCAGTCATGTGTGCTATTTTTGTACAGGACTGAACAGAGTCAAAATCATACCCACTCAACTTAAACAAACAAACAAAAAAAGCCTGTTCTGAGTCAAGAGCAAAACAGCATGAGATCAGGGGTTAGAGAACTTAGGAGAGGCTTCCTATAGGATATTAACAGATCGAGAAGAAAAGTGAGGATATTTTAAACTAGGAGAAAATCACATGACCACATTGGTGGGGAAGGAAGTGGCAGATAGGAAATAAATTGGTTGGTCTGCCATTAAAGTTTGAGACCTTAAGATGTAGCAGAAATAGAGCAAATTTAACAGAACTTAGTTTAATCCTTTTTATGCAAACATTGCCAGTAGAAAATTTTTTAATTTAATATGACAGCACTGGTTTGATAGGATTTCAAGCCAATGAATTCAGTAAGTGAATTTGTTTTGATGACCTTTGCTAATTTGCTGAATGCCATAAAAATCTCCTGCAGACATTCTAACAGTTCCAAAGCTAAAAATAATGACCTCACTGAAGATTCTGTTGGCTGTTCTGATTCAGAGAATGGTTGAGAATGACTGATGGACTCTGGTTCCAAAACGAGTCTCTGAAACTTGCACCCTGGTATGTCTTGTAGAGCAGAAAATGATGTCTCTAGTTTTTACAAAGCACACCCAGGGTCAGAGGGAGCAGTGGAGAAAGATGATTGTCTCTATTAAAAATAAAAGTTGTAATTACAGTAACAGTCAATTTTTGACCTCTGTGCCAGGTTTTGTGCTTGACATACAATGTATTTCATATTATCCTCAAACTTCTCTGTGAAGGAATCATCACTAACCTCTAAACGTGGTAACAAAGACTCAGAAAGGTTTAGTAACTTGCTTAAAGTTGCACAGCTACTTAATGCCAAAGACTTTGAACCCAGGTCTTTTTGAATCAAAAACTAGTATTATTAACCTTTACATAGTATAGATTTTCAGCCTTTGAAGAGGCTGTTGCTTTAGATTTACACCACTAGTGCCCTTTAGTTGACAGCGTAAAGCACAATAAAGAAAAACATTTCCTAGAAGAATCATGGGATTTGAAGGTTAACAGGGGATCTGTGAGATTATTAATCCAATCCTCTCTTTCTGGATATGAGATACCAAAAGGTCATGCCAAATGTGAGCAACACATAGGGCTGCAGCTGCTTCATGGATGGGCTCTAGGACCATTCAACTGGCAATAACGTTGCTCCTTAATACTGCCCTCTGCTGTCTTCTCAAGGGCATGTCAACAATTATTTGAGAAAAGAGCTGAGCTTGGGCATAAAAGAAACCTGAACAAGGTTGCCATAGTCAGTCAGATAACAGCATGGTGTTAAATGGTTTGAGTACTAGATGCTTGGTTTCTGCTTTTTTTTTTTTTTTTGCTTTTGATTTGCATTTTTCTGATGAGAAGTAGCTTCTACTTTTTAATGAAAATATCCTGAGGACTCAAAGAATATTAAAAGGTGAATGTTTGTAATTTGGTAAGGAAAAAAAAAGGATAGAGTCTATGTATCTAGATTAAAATTGAAGTTACCAGGCCTCCCCTGGTGGCGCAGCAGTTTAGCGCTAGACTGAGAAGCTGCCCGCAGCCTCTGCAGCGCTGGTTCAATCCCTGACCGCTGGCAAGGGTCCCACATGGCATGGCAGACCTCTCTTGCTGCACCCGCTGCTCCCCTCAGCAGTGTATTTCGTCAGTCTGCCTGTTCCATTCCCCGCTCTGGCTCTGGTGAATTCTCTCACCCTCCCGTGCTTCTGACTGTACCCAGTGCTTGTAAAAAATAAATAAATAAATCTTTTAAAAAAATATTTAAGTTACCGCTCTGTTTTCAATTCACCATCTCTTTGAATTCAGAAAATGAACAAGATTACAACTGCTAATTTTTATGAGTGGTTTGAAAATTTCTTGAAGTCTTCTTGTGTGTTAGTGGGAAATCTCCCCCACATTATTGCCAACCAGGATTCTCATGAGTGAAACCACCCATGAACATAGTGTGTGTCTTATTTTGGAGATTTTGTTTATTTCTTCAGAGTAGTGAGGGCTGAATGAGGAGAAAGAATAGGAGGCTCAGAGATCTTTCCTGGCAAACTTATAGGTTCAGTTTCTCTCTGATATTTTTTAATTAAACAAAAACTACTGAAAATATATACAAATGTAATAATGAGGTCTATCAAAATTCTTTCCACTTCAGTATTTCTGTGACAGTGAGGTCAAGATGTGTTTCAGGAGAAATCATGCTCCGTGATTTCCATCACAAGTAAAAACATAATTTAATTATTACAAACTTTACTTAGTTTTAAGATTTTTTTTTATTTATACAAGAACTGGGGTACAGGCCAGAGACATGGGAGGGTGAGAAAATTCATCAGAGACAGAGTGGGGGGCCAAACAGGTTGACTGAATGGAATACACCAATGAGGGGAGCAGCAGGTGAGACAGGAGAGGTCTGCTGCGCCATGTGGGTATCTCCCTGGCCGGCCAAGGAATCAAATCCGCACTGCAGAGGCTGCGGACAGCCTCACAGCACTGCTGTCAACCTGCTGTGCCACCAGGGAGCCCTTTTGGAAATATTCTTGATATAAATATCTTGAATTTGTCTTCTAATCTAGAAAATAAAATTCCCTTTCCTGCTTTGATAGATGAAAAGGTTTAGGAGAATTACACCAGTTCCACTAATCACCTCTGCTTCCTTGGTGTATTGTGAGAATAATACTTATTTTGAATATCATTACAACTTGTGTAAGCCTTATACATACAGTAGGCATTCATTTCCAATTTTTATCAGTAATACATATATTAGTTTAAAATTGAATAGTTTCCATGTACCTTAATAAAAACAGCAGTCTCCTTGAGACAACCTGCTGGAGTCTGTCTCCACCAGGAAACTTCTCCACTGACATTGTCTGGAAATTGGGTTCCCAATGCCAGAATTCTAAGACTCAGAAGAAGTATCATGTGACAGTTGTTGGAATGGATGGGACAATCAGTGTAAATGAGGAGGCACAGAACCTAGAGACCACACTGGTCTGGAGAAAATGAGACAGTCTCCTATACCATAGGAAGTTCCAAAATCAAGGAGTCCGGAGAACCAGTCCACATACCTACAAGAGATTCCTGAAGTGCTCTGCCTTGCTACCTGCTTGCCAGTTGTTCCTGGGGATCTGAGCAGTCTGGTCTGCTGTGGTCCAGGAGCACAGGCCTTCAACCAGGAAAAGGACAAGGTTCCAGGGAAAAGACAAAGCCCAGGGCCAACCATCAATCTACAGCATACAGTGAGGGAGTTGGAGACCTGGAGGGAGACATGGGAGAGTGGGGTGGTAGTATGTGGGTGGATAATTGGTAGGAGGACCTCAACTAGGGGAAACAATAACTATACAAAGATGACCAACAATGTAAGAAAATTAAAATTTAAAAAACTATCTCAAGTCCCCCTTTATATCCACCTCCCTCATCTCCATTAGCCAAAAGTAGTTGATTTCAATTCTTCTTTTATTGTTATTTGCCTTCACACTTCTCAAAACAACATCACTTGTACTGTTACTTCTTGGTTGCTAAGGTTTCTTCATTATATCTTTTTCATACATGTCCACATTCCTCACACACATTTCTTTCCCCTTTATTTCCCTAATATTAATATATCTAATGGTCCACCAGTATCCACTAGAATTGAAATATTTTCTTATAGTTTGGAAAAGAACTACTTTTCTGAAGTTCTAAGTGCCCCACCCTATTAGCCCAGCCACATCTCAAGAATCCCCAGATATTCTCCTCCCACAACCCAGCAAGGTGAAGTAACTAGTTGGCACAGCATTACCTATTATCCAGTATGTCTTAGTTTGTGGTCAATACCAGACCAGTTAGCAAATATCTAACATTAATTGTCTGGTTATTACAATTGTTGGTATACCCATATTCAATGTTGCCTATATTATAAGTCTGAATCTTCATCATAGCTGAGTCATTTAGTATCTAGAAAATGACTAAATTCACTTTCCTGTGCTCTTTGCCTTTTCGCCATTATGAAGCCATCCACAAACTTTTGTCCTATGTGTACATCGCTTCTTGAATGTACAGGTGATCTATCAAAGTAATCTTCCGATGGACATCTAGTACAGGACTCTGTGTTCTTTTGTTCCCATCAGAAGTAATTGCTCTCCAGACCTGCTGGCACTAGTGTCATTTTAGGATCTCCTTCCCCATCATCCTAGATATTTTAATCTCTTTTATATGGGAGCCTCCGCTTCTGACCTGAATTCCATATTTTCTCCTTCCTTAATTTACATATTGGGGGAGTTTTCCACAGTAAGCTTCTTGAAAGTGATTGAGGGAAGATTTTTGAAACCTTGTATGTCCAACAATCTCTTATTCTCTCATACCACTGAGTGAATTTTTATGTATGTAGTTCCTATGTAAGAAATCAACATCTCTTGCATATCGGAAGGTAATGTCATTTTTCTTCTAGATCCTGATAATGACTTGAAAAGTTCAAAGCTATTCTGATTCTTGAACCTTTTTAAAGATTTTTTCCCTGCCAACATTTTAGCATCTTCTCTTTATTCCCAAAGTCTAAGTTTCATAAGGATTAGCCATATTATGAACTTTTTAATCAAGTTTCAGGTAGGACTTTCGATCTTGAACACTTAGAATGTTGTATGGAATCATAAGTGTCTTAGTCTATTCAGGTTGCTTTAGCAAAATCTCATTCATTGGACAGCTTATAAACTACTTCTCACAGCTCTAGATGCTGGAAAGTCCATGATCAAGGTGCTAGTAGTGTTAGTGTCTCCTAAGGGCCATCTCTGATTCAAAGATGATCATCTTTTCACTGTATGGCTTTATAGCAGAAGTCACAAGGGATATCTTTAAGGTCTCTTTTGTAAGAGTGTTATGTTAATCCCTTTGGTAAGAACTCGGCTCTCATGGCCTTATCACCCCCAAAGACTCCTTCTCTTAAACCATCACATTGACATCAGAATTTCAATATATGAATTTTGGTTGCTCACAACAGTCACCCTACAGCAATATAGCATGTAACATTTTCTGATTGACTTCTTTTATTTAGGCAGTATTTATTAAGGTATTACCAGGTCTTTTCATGGCTTACTAGCTCATTTCTTTTTAGCACTGAATAATGTTCCATTATGGATATACACAATTTATTTGCCTATTTAAGGACATCTTCATTTCTTCCATGTTTTGACCATTATGAACAAAGCTGCTATAAACATTTGTACAGATTTTTGTTTGGATAAGCATTTTTGACTCATTTGGGTATATCAAGGAGCACTATTTCTGGATAGGATGGTACAAATATGTTTAGTTTTATGAGAAACTGCCAAACATTCTTCCAAAGTGACTGTACCATTTTGCCCTCCTACTAGCAATGAATGAGAATTCCTGTTACTCTGCCACTTTTCAGTGTTTTGGATTTTAATTTGCGGTTCCCTGATGAAATGTGACTTTGAGTATCTTTTCATACATCTATTTACCACCTGTGTAACTTTTTTGGTGAGATGTCTGCTTAAATCTTTCGCTTTTTTAAAATTAAGTTGTTAGTTTTCTTAGTGTTGAGTTTTAAGGGGGTTTTGTGTATTTTGGCTTTCTCAGATATGTGTTTCATACCACTTTATTTTTAAATTGTTTTAATACTGATCCATTTACATAGTTAAAAATAAAAACAAAATTAAACCATAAATATCAAGAGGTCTCACCCATCCATTGCCCTCCAAATTCACCCTATTCTTCACCATTTTTATTAGTTCCTGGTTTATGCTTCTGAAAGCATATAAAATACAAGCAAAAACAGACTTTATTTGTTTTTCCAATTTGTCAATAAAAGTGATATTCTGTATGCATAGTTCTGCACCTTGCATTTTCACTTAAAAGTGTCTTTGTTATTAGTGTTATTGTTTACTTAACAATATAGCTTGGGCATTTCTCCATACCTTATAGAACTCTTCCTATTTATATATTCATATATAAAACTGTATTATGTGGATGTACCACAGTTGAGTTAAATTACCTGTTGCTGGACACTTGCCACCTTTAATTTCAAAGGTACCTGGAACTTCCAATTGCTGATATTTTCTAAGGAGCCATAATGAAAATTATGTTCTTCTTAGATTCCCCCCATTGCTTTAGATTCTGATTTTCTTAAAAATCCTAGGACAGTTTCTACTTGTCCATCTGATTTCTGACTTCTAGAGTTTCTCTTTTTCAGTACTTGTTATTATAACAGTATCATCTTCAAACTCAGAGAACACTTCTTTAGTGTCCGTATGTCTGAAAGTTCACTCTCATGTTGTACACTTCCACTGTATTTTTCCAGACTTATCATATCCTTTCAGTAGGAAGAGACTGAGTTTCCACAAATAAAAATAATCTTAAAAATAGATGGTAGGGGATAAAATTGTTTACTTTTAGAAAGTCTAAAGCAGAGAAATAGTATGGTCTAAAGATTTTCTGAGGTCATTCAGCAAAGCAATAAATTGCTTTCTATGGCTTTTGCCTCCCTATCTGTGGCTGTAACTATTATAGTACCATTTCTGTCCCTGGATTTCAGCTCACTAGACCTAATTACTGTTTTCCTAATTTATAGAAATTGTTAGCACCATTAGTGCAGATACATCAAGGGCCCTGAGGGAGCAGTAATTCTCCTGCTGTACACTTAAATTGATCTAGTCATTTGGTTCATCAACTGTGTGAGTCACAAGGTGGATGTCTCTTCAGAGGCTCGAGAGCAGTGGTTGGGTTTGGGCCCTGCAGTCAGACAGACGTCACAGCTATTCCACTTTCTAGTTATGTCACCTTAAGCAAGTTACTTAACCCTTATAAATTTGTATTCCCTTATCTATATAATGTACACTTCATAGATTTGCTATTAGGATTAAATGCATGTAAAGCAATAGAACAGGGTCTGGTATACAACATACAATGAATGTGGCTATTAGTAATTGGTGCATAACACACTGCCAGGCACCTACTGGATATTCAATATATAATGGCAGAATGAATTAATTGAAAGGATGAATAACCATTTGTCTTTAATGAAGCAACTGAATTTGATTAAAGTTTGGCTCCCCAACTGCTCTATAACCTCTCTGAATAAAGAGATACTGTCTGTATAACTCCATATCCTTATTTCCAAACAAAGTGCCTAAAAATCATTGCAGAAATTGACCAATACTCATTCAATGCATCTACCAATAAAGGAATGAGCAAATAGACATAACTTTTCACATTAATTTTCCAAATGACAAATAAAATTGTTTTCAAAAAAATTGAGTATAATTAGTAGTTAAGAATGTCAGTATTTATAGGAATAGCCTCTGTTCCTCAAAATTTGGTCTCCACACAGACTCTTCCAAAGAGTAAACTTTAGGCAAAGAATTTTTTTAATCAAATGTTACTGATTTGTCACTCATTTACAAAATTATATAATTTGGGGAATACAACTTCACATCTCAACGTGTGCACTTGCTTCATTTGCCCTCTGCCAACACTCCATTGCCAACATACTATCACATTAACCCCTTATTCCTCTCCTTCCCTCTGGTAACCACCATATTTTTCACAGTCTGTAATTATTTTTGGTATGTTTTGTGACAGATTTCTTGACTGACCATGGCTAATCACTCCTCATTTAATCATGCCTGCCATGACCTCTCTAGTTACAATTGTACCATAGACAAAATAAGAAATGGGGAAATGCAGGATTTAGTAGTTGGAAAGTATCTGCCATAGGAAACTGGGTCTTTTGTGCTCATTGTTTGATGAGGGTACTGCTTGGATTTGGCAGGGGTAAGTGGGTCAGGAACCTTAATAAAAATGCCCTGGAAGACGTTGATCTAGTTATTTTTGTTTTAACTGTGTTCTTGATCCAGAAAACTTCCATCATGTAATGTTTATATGTTTTATGTCATGAAACCTAAAAAATGTCACTCAGATAGAAGAGCAACCACTCAAAATAATTGACATTTGTGGTTGTTCTATGGATAAATGTCTGATAAAATAAGATTTAAAATATTGCTTCATTGATCTTTTTGATACCCCTAAGTTCTGAGAAATGGTTTTAGTAAGTCTTGTATTTTGCCTAGGACCACGCTATATGACTTCTATTATGTCCAATTCTGCACAAACATCCATCAGAGGCTCTAATTTATTTTATACCTGTTTTAGAAATGTAGAGATGGAAGTCCTATATTCCAGTGGTCACTATGATGCCAGGCAGAAAGCCAAGATACAAACCCCAATCTTTCTGATTCCAAAATGTGTGTTTCTTATAATTTT